ACCCAGACACGGTCGCGCAGGCCATTCAAGCACCGCGTGTTGCCACAAATATATTTTCAAATATTTTTTCTATGCATTTCCAATGCGGTTTTATTTGTTTCTTTTATCGTATATAATGCATATTTGTGACCTTTACAATATGTACACAGTAGAATGTTCATAATTTTCCATGAAACTGTGATACATGTGTCAGTAATGTGTCCACAATAAATGTTTATTGTCACAATATTACGTGGTAAAAATTCACTAAAATTACAATATGTACAGTTTCACATACTATTTACACAGTAACACACTGTATTACACACTCAGTACTTTGGAGGTGCGTAATAGTCAACGAAGTAGTCCATGGTACACAGCGCGACTTTGCTCATCTTGCACCAGCTACAGATAGATTTTCGTTTCCTGTTTCATCGTTCTGTGTGCTTGCAAATAACGCACTCGCGTGCACCCTTCGCTTTAGTACTTGTAGGTGGTATGTAGCCAAGCTTGTAAAGCATAAGGTAGTATTGAAACGATTATAGGAAAAGCTCAATTTGTAAGGCAGTCTTGAAAAGATCGCTTTGTAAGATCCCACACAGGAAGAGATTCAGCTAGCCTCAAGGAGTGTCCATCAGTCAGAGGAGTGGCTGTACTGGTGAAAAAACACCTGAAGGTAAAAGAGTTAATATTTGAAATCCCTCGAGATATTGACATAATGGCATTGCAGGTCTGGAATCAGGATGATAACCTGATAATTGTAAATGCCTACAGCCCACCAGCAAGCAACACGTGGACAAAGGAAGAACTGGATGACAAACGAGAGGGCCTCATAATGGTCATGAGAGATATTATTGTACAAGCAGATAAAGATAAATCACGAATGTTGATACTGGGGGACTTCAACTTTAGAGCAATAGACTGGGAGGCCTATGAAGCAAGAACGGAGGACTTTTGGACATGCAGATTTGTGAACCTCATTCTGGAGACATTCTTGTATCAAAACATAAAGCAAGCCACAAGAATGAGGGAAGGAGATATACCGTCAGTACTGGATCTAGTATTCACCAGGAAAGAAGAAGAGATTTTTGATATCCAGTACCTTCCTCCCCCTTGGGAAAGAGTGATCACGTCCTGTTAGACATTAAATATGCTTTAAGAGATCATCTAGAAGAAAATGGGGACATTGAAACAGTTGATAAACCCGATTTAAAGAGAGGCAACTATGGGGAATTTCAAAATTTTTTTAATGAGTGTAATTGGACAGAATTGTTGCTAGGCAGGAAGTAAATGAAATGTATGCCAAATTTTTAAAACTATACGAGGAAGGCACACAAACATTCATACCAAACCAGAGATGCAGGACCAGAAACACAGGATTGGTTCGACAGAAATTGTGAGAGGGCAAGAGACCAAAAGACACAAAAATGGAATCAGTATAGGAAGAGGCCAAACCCCCAAACATACCAGCGATACAAAGATGTGGAGAAACACTTATACAGCAGTAAGGAGAGAGAGGCAGAAAGAAATTTTGAAAAAGGGATAGCAGATAAATGTAAAACAGCACCGGGCCTATTCTACAAATTCATAAACAACAAATTGCAGGTAAAGGATAATATCCAGAGGTTGAAAATGGGAAACAGATTCACGGAAAATGAAAAGGAAATGTGTGAAATATTAAATAAAATGTTCCAAAGTGTGTTTGTACAAAATGAAATCTTCAGAGAACCAGACACAATAAGAATTCCAGAGAACAACATAGAGCGGATAGAGGTGTCTAGAGATGAAGTGGAAAATATGCTAAAGGAGCTCGGGAGGACAAGGAACAGCAGCTGGCCCAGATGGCGTTTCACCATGGTTTCTGAGAGAAGTGCATCTGAGCTCAGCATTCCACTTCACCTGATCTTTCAGGCATCCTGTGTACAGGAATCGTAGCAGACGTGTGGAAACAGGCTACATAGTTCCAATCTACAAAAGTGGCAGCAGGGAAGACCCCCTCAATTATAGACCTGTATCATTGACAAGTGTAATAGTGAAAGTATTGGAAAAGCTAATCAAAACTAAATGGGTAGAAAACCTGGAGAGAAATGATATAATATCAGACAGACAGTATGGTTTTCGATCAGGAAGATCCTGTGTATCGAATTTACTCAGTTTCTATGATCGGGCCACAGAGATATTACAGGAAAGAGATGGCTGGGTTGACTGTATCTATCTGGACCTAAAAAGGCTTTCGACAGAGTTCCACATAAGAGGTTGTTCGGAAACTGGAAAATATTGGAGGGTGACAGGTAAGCTTCTATCATGGATGAAAAATTTCTGACTGATAGAAAAATGAGGGCAGTAATCAGAGGCAATGTATCGGAATGGAGAAATGTCACAAGTGGAGTACCACAGGGTTCAGTTCTTGCACCAGTGATGTTTATTGTGTACATAAATGATCTACCAGTTGGTATACAGAATTATATGAACATGTTTGCTGATGATGCTAAGATAATAGGAAGGATAAGAAATTTAGATGATTGTCATGCCCTTCAAGAAGACCTGGACAAAATAGTATATGGAGCACCACCTGGCAAATGGAATTTAATGTTAATAAATGTCATGTTATGGAATGTGGAATAGGAGAACATAGACCCCATACAACCTATATATTATGTGAGAAATCTTTAAAGAATTCTGATAAAGAAAGAGATCTAGGGGTGGTTCTAGATAGAAAACTATCACCTGAGGACCACATAAAGAATATTGTGCAAGGAGCCTATGCGATGCTTTCTAACTTCAGAATTGCATTTTAAATTCATGGATGGCGATATACTAATATTCATTTTATAGGCCTTGGTATTAATATGGATTTGAGATAAAGTATATATCACTGAATTTAATGTAGATTAAAGATCTGAGTTTGATTCCAATTGTTCTACATCCTAATTTCATCTATTTGGGCTGCTGGGTATAGTGATGGCCTTGCTTTTTGCATCACCAGCAATCGATCTCCGATGTTACAAGTGGTTTGTCACCATTCCTTCACTCTGTTCTCATATCTCAGTTCTTAACCCTTAAACAGCGCAATACATACATATATAATGGGAGTAACTCTCACAAAATGGCGCAAATCATATACAGTATATATGATTTGCATATTTAAAATAGTCCTGTACATACATAGAGCTCACATCTGCTTCCTCAGACCACCAGTAACCACCTCTCATCTTGAAAAAAAAATCCAGAGTCCCTCACTTTACTTCTAGGACCTTAGTAAGAAAATGATGACCATTACTTGGCAACATCACCATCCAGTGTCTGAATGTTTAGGGCAGCCATAAAGGAAACACTAAACTTTTAGCAACGGCAAATTTGTGATTACCATGTATATATTTGAGGTAAAATGTGTGCTATATGCATTTTTAAATTTAGGCTTATAATAATATATATACATGTATTATTATGAATAAGTATGTGGGGTGTCTGTATATCTATACTTGTATATCCATACATACTTATATTTTCAAAGTTTTACATAATAGACAGTAACTTTGACACACAAATGCAACCTGTTAGCATAAAAAACTAAATAAATAAATTGAGAAACAAGTAAAATAAATCAACAAAGTTATTCCTATGCAGTACTTCAACTAAAAATATGCAACGTCTCCAGTCACTACAGCTAAACCACAAGAGCTGGAGACTTTTTTTTTTGTGCTTCCTTCCTGAAGGCTAATTAATTTAACAATGTCAAAAGAAAAAATTATTTTTTCAGAACAAATTTTTTTCTTGAGCACCCTGGGGATATTAGCTATTTAACAGTTAGCAGTTTAAGGGTTAATCACTCGTCTTATTTTTTTGCAAGTGCTATATAATAAATTTAGCATGCAGTACTTGTCCAACGTGGCCCTGTATAAAATGATTGCTCCTTGATATGACTCATTCATCAGTAAATAAATAGAATTTGCAAAGTAGAAGGAAGGTGGAGAAGGAGGGAGGAGGAGGAGGAGGGGGGAGGGAGGGAGAGAGGAGGGGGGAGGGAGGGAGGGAGGAGGAGGGGGGGAGGGAGGAGGAAGAGGAGGGAGGGAGGAGGAAGAGAAGGGAGGTGGAGGGAGGAAGGGAGGTGGAGGAGGGAGGAAGGGAGGTGGAGGAGGGAGAAAGAGAGGTGGAGGAGGGAGAAAGAGAGGTGGAGGAGGGAGAAAGAGAGGTGGAGGAGGGAGGAAGAGAGGTGGAGGAGGGAAAAAGAGAGGTGGAGGAGGGAGGAAGAGAAGAGGAGGAAGAGGAAGGGAGGAGAAGAGAGGAGGGAGGAGGAAGGAGGAACAAGGAGGAGGAAGCGGTAGTAACAATGATGCCTTCTCACAGACATAATAACATACGATAAAAGCCCACATTTATGTATTTGTGTATTTTATGTAAAGATTTACACCAAGTCTTTTGCACTCTCCTGAGTGCTCTATCAAGGTCTGAGTATAATGTAATACTGTATTTGATAAGTCATCGAGATGTAAGTCTCGTCCTCACCAGATACTCAGACCTTACCAAAGTACTCAGGAGAATGCAAAAGACATGGTGTAAATTTTTACATAAAATACACAAATGCATAGGTGTGGGTTTTTATCATGTATTATTTATTATTATTTCTGGGGGAGCCCCTTCGCCTCCCCAGAGCTATTACAGGCTCATATGGATATATTAGACTTTGGCATCAATGTGAATGGAGTTCTATTCCTACCGGGGACCCCGAGCCAGAACCTGGCCCCTTCAGAGAGGCACAAGGAGCAATGGCCTATAGTTTTGGCCTATAGTTAGAATGTTTTCAGAATTTTAATCCTTGGATGATAATAATTAAACATTATTAACTTACGTACTAATTCTATCCCATTCGATCTATAGCAATCCCCCCCCCCAAAAAAAAGCAAAACATACGTAACTGTTAACAAATCCACAAGGCCGTGATGAGGGTTCGAGTGGATTTGTTCATTTGATATATCACTCTACTGTGATTTCTGTTTGTATACATAACTGTATTTACAAACCTTATGCTAGGAGAGACGATGGGTCATGACAGCAGTAGCAGACCGAGCGATAAGGCCCCAAAATTTAGATACTACTCGCACTGGCCACCAGCATACCTCCACTACAGATAATGCACGAGTCCAGTGTTGCAGGTAGTCTGTACTGTGTGTTCAGGAAAATACTCTCGCTAAGAATGTAGTCAAAATATATTTAACAAATCTGATTTTAACCTAACTAACTTCCAACTTCCCACCTCTGTATGTTAGAGGTGGGACATACCTCATATCTCAGCGGTATGTCACAGACCAGAGGGTAGCAGTCTTACGATTATAGGCCCTCAATGTTTCATCATACACCACTCACCACACTGTCAATATTATCATCATTAACAGTTGTATTAAGTACCAGTATGACTTGAAAAGATGTCAATAGCTTGGCTTTAATTTACAAATAAATAACAAGGACAAGAACATCTGAAAGAAAATCATAAGAAATCCTATTTGTTTACAGAAAGATGGCAAATTACTATACACAAGCTAACTATAACTAGGGAGATTTCTGTTGTTTTTTCAGCACTCAAAACATGGAATTGTTCTAGTTACTGATGGTGATAGGTAATTCAAATCCAACAACAATTTAAAAAAAACACTTCAGAGATTGACTCACACACCCCTATTATCATCTAGTTACCATACCCTGCAAGGTGTATGGATATTATCTAGTTCCCATACCCCACAAGGTGTATAGATGTTATTTAGTTCCCATACCCTGCAAGGTAAGGCTGCCCTATGGATATTATCTAGTTCCCATACCCTGCAAGGTGTATGGATATTATCTAGTTCCCATACCCTGCAAGGTGTATGATTATCATCTAGTTCCCATACCCCGCAAGGTGTATGAATATTATCTAGCTCCCATACCCCGCAAGGTATATGGATATTATCTAGCTCCCATACCCCATAAGGTGTATGGATATTATCTAGTTCCCATATTCCACAAGGTGTATGGATATTATCTAGTTCCCATACTCCGCAAGGTGTATGGATATTATCTAGTTCCCATATCCCATAAGGTGTATGGATATTATCCAGCTCCCATACCCCATAAGGTGTATGGATATTATCTAGTTCCCATATTCCACAAGGTGTATGGATATTATCTAGTTCCCATACCCCGAAAGGTGTATGGATATTATTTAATTCCCATACCCTGCAAGGTACAGTATTTAGTTTCTATACCCCACAAGGTGGATGGATATTGTCTAGCTCCCATACCCTGCAAGGTGTATGGATATTATCTAGCTCCGATACCCCGCAAGGTGTATGGATATTATCTCGTTCCTATACCCCGAAAGGTGTATGGATATTATTTAATTCCCATACCCTGCAAGGTACAGTATTTAGTTTCTATACCCCACAAGGTGGATGGATATTGTCTAGCTCCCATACCCTGCAAGGTGTATGGATATTATCTAGTTCCCATACCCCACAAGGTGTACAGATATTATCTAGTTCCCATACCCTGCAAGGTGTATTGATATTATCTAGCTCCCATACCTCACAAGGTGTATGGATATTATCTAGTTCTCATACCCCTTAACATGTATGGATATCCCCTATTAAGAATCCCTGTTGTATACAGCATTAACACTAACGCACTCTGTTGCCGACATCTGTCGTTATGTATTTTTCTCAAGTCATCTCGGTTGCCTCCGGCTTGCGTCACTCATTAAACTATTTGTTAAAAATTAAATTTTATCCGATCAATCTAGGAGTGGTTTTAAAATGAACACCTTTAGATTGCGCACAATTTGATACCAAAATGAAAGACGTGATGCAAAAATTGATGTCAGAACACTGGAAAGATATAAATAATTTTGAGGCAATGAATGTCCAAAAGTGTCCAAAAGTTAAAATATTTGTTAAAATTCCATTTATTGTTCTATTATTATGGGACTTGTTTTAAAATATGCACCTTTATATTGTGAACAATTTGATACCAAAATGAAAGACGTGACATGAAAATTGATGTCAGAAAGATAATAAATGTTAGAGATAAATACTTTTGTGGTCCAAATTTGAAAATATTTCCTAAAATTCCATTTACAGGCATACCTCAGTTTCCGAGTTTAATCCGTTCCTGGAGACGCCTCGTATTCCGAAAACTCGCATTCCGAAGCTAATTTCCCCATAAGAAATAAAGGGAAATGAATTAATCCGTTCCTGACTACCCCAAAAACCCCACATCATACTAAATTTTTATACCTAATTTACCTAATTCATCTAAATAAACCTACAAAACTATGTTCCAGTTATTACTTACCTTGCTGTCGAGTGCTGTAGGCGTATGGAAGATGGTGAGGAGGGGGGAGGAGGAGAGGAGTTACTGTTTGGAAGAGGAGTCCCCTTCCATAATCACATCAGGCAGTGAGGACCTTTCTGGTGTGCTCTCCCTGGGACGTTTTACCTGAGTGCCACTAGGTCCTGGTTGAGGCTCACTGCTCGATTTCTTCACAAATCTGTCCATGGAAGCTTGCTTTTCCCTTCTTCGCAAGCTGTCTCTGTAGTAAGGCATCACATGTCATTGAAAAGATTAAGACAACGGCCTACTACAGCTTTCTCTGGGTGAGTCTGTTCAACAGTTGTTTGAATCTCTTCCCACATCTGACACACCTTCTTAATTACTGCAGAAGGGACATTCGCTGGTGCTGCTGCCACCTCCTCCTCCACTGCAGAATCATTCGCTGCTGCGTTGGCTTGCTGTTCCTGTTGAAGGGCTAGGAGTTCTTCGGTGGTCAGTTCTTCGTTGTGTTCTTCCACCAACTCCTCCACATCACCACCATCCAATTCCAAGCCCATTTGCTGGCCTAGACTAACAATTTCCTCAACAATAGGCGCATCATTTATAGGCTCAAACCCCTCAAAGTCTAGTTCTCTCACACATTCAGGCCACAATTTTCTCCAGCCAGAGATCAGGGTTCTTTGAGTCACTTCTTGCCAGGCTTTGTCAACGAGTTTTAAAGCACTACAAATGTTAAAATGCTCTCTCCTCTTTTCTGCCTCTCAGAACTCTTTGAGGGTGAGGTTTGTGGCTTCAGTCACTTCAAAACATTTCCGGAAAAGTGCCCTTTCATAAAGTTTCTTAAAATTCGCTATGATTTTCTGGTCCATAGGCTGAATTAGAGGAGTGGTGTTAGGAGGAAGGAATTTAACTGTGAGGAATTTATGGTATCTAGGCAACAAATCATCTTCCAAGCCTGGAGGATGAGCAGGAGCATTGTCAAGGAGAAGCACGGCTTTGAGTGGCAATTGTTTCTCCTGCAGATATTTTTCTATGGCAGGGCACAGCACTTCATTCACCCACTCCAAAAAATAAGCCTAGTCACCCATGCTTTTTTATTAGACTTCCACATCACACACAAATGGGTTTTCTGCACATTATACTGTTTGAAAACCCTTGGATTTTCAGAATGATACACTAGCAAGGTTTAATTTTCAAATCGCCACTCGCATTTCCATACAGCACAAGCGTAAACCTATCTTTCATAGGCTTGTGTCCAGGCAAGGATTTTTCCTCCTTGGTAATGTATGTCCTCTTAGGCATTCTTTTCCAAAACAGTCCTGTTTCGTCACAATTAAACACTTGTTGCGGTAGGTATCCCTCAGCCTCTGCAAACTCTTTAAATTCGTCAATAAATCGTCCAGCGGCTGGTTTGTCTGAGCTGGCTGCCTCCCCATGCCTTGTAACACTATGGATACCACTTCTTTCTAAATTTTTCAAACCAGCCCCTGCTTGCCTTAAACTCTTCGTATCTGCATCACTCGTTGCAGGGTATTCTTTAGAAGGTCTTCGTGCAACACCCTGGCTTTCTCACAAATAATGGCCTCCGAAACACTATCACCCCTCAACTCCTTGTCGTGTATCCAAATTAATAACAACTTTTCCACTTCTTCAAGTATTTGTGGTCTTTGTGCCGTTAATGTTCTTACTCCTTTTGCCACTTTAGCTCCCATAATCTCATTTTTCTTCTTAAGTATAGTGCATATTGTTGATGTGGCTTTGTTGTACTGCCTACAAAGTTCAACAACACGTGTACCGTTCTCATGCTTCCGAATGATCTCTTGTTTCTCCTCTATTGTCATCCTCACATGAGCTTTCTGGCCTTTATCCTTACCACTGGCTTTCTTGGGACCCATGGTGAGATATATAATAACAAATTGTATAGACAAATCACCAAAAATCCAACAAAACACTGAAATCCGCGAGAAGAATTGATGTGGGGGTAGTCACTGAGCGCGAGACAATGGTAAACTGAGGGCGGCGGGGCAGAGGGGCGACGATCGCTGAACCACCACGCGCTAGGTCGGCCTGTACGCGTATCAACAAACTCGCGTCCCGAGGTAACCCTCGCCTTCCGAGACAAATTTTTGGAGTAAATACTGCTCGTCTTCCGAAAAACTCGCATACAGGGACACTCTGAATTTACTCAGTTTCTATGATCGAGCCACAGAGATATTACAGGAAAGAGATGGTTGGGTTGACTGCATCTATCTGGACCTAAAAAAGGCTTTTGACAGAGTTCCACATAAGAGGTTGTTCTGGAAACTGGAAAATATTGGAGGGGTGACAGGTAAGCTTCTATCATGGATGAAAAATTTTCTGACTGATAGAAAAATGAGGGCAGTAATCAGAGGCAATGTATCGGAATGGAGAAATGTCACAAGTGGAGTACCACAGGGTTCAGTTCTTGCACCAGTGATGTTTATTGTGTACATAAATGATCTACCAGTTGGTATACAGAATTATATGAACATGTTTGCTGATGATGCTAAGATAATAGGAAGGATAAGAAATTTAGATGACTGTCATGCCCTTCAAGAAGACCTGGACAAAATAAGTATATGGAGCACCACTTGGCAAATGGAATTTAATGTTAATAAATGTCATGTTATGGAATGTGGAATAGGAGAACATAGACCCCACACAACCTATATATTATGTGAGAAATCTTTAAAGAATTCTGATAAAGAAAGAGATCTAGGAGTGGTTCTAGATAGAAAACTATCACCTGAGGACCACATAAAGAATATTGTGCAAGGAGCCTATGCGATGCTTTCTAACTTCAGAATTGCATTTAAATACATGGATGGCGATATACT